GCCCGAGGCGCCCGCGGAACTGGCACGGCCCTGAGCGCGCACAGCCCGGGAGGGGCCCATTCCGGGGAAGATGGCCCCTCCTGAGAAGAGGGGGGCGACTTCTCATTTAAAAAAAAAAAAAAAAATCCAGGTCTCCGGCTTTTCTTAGAAACCCTGGACCGCATTCCCTGGGCCACCATCTGCTGGGACCCCAGGTGCCCCTAGATGGCGGCGGGTCCTCCAGTTTCCCCCGGACCCCGCCAGGCCCACTTCCCTCGCGATCCGGGCCCCGGGAGTATTGGAGGTGGAGACCTGGGACCTCAGCAGTCGGGATGCGGTGTGCCCCCGAGAGGCAGTGGGAGCGCAGGCTCCTGGGTTCAAGTCCACTGGCCAGCTGGTGTCCCCACCCCCCACCCCGTGAAATGCCCCCAGCTGTAAAACAGGGCTGAAATGAGACCGTGCAGCTCCTGGAGGGCTCTGAACACTCGCTGTATTGGCAGGGAGCAGATAATCAATAAGATGTCTGTTGAATCTTAATGGCAATTTCTTTGGGAGAAACAGCCCTCAGGGATTCTCTTTGAAGGGAAGGGGTTTTAGATCCCTTCTGGAGAGGTTTTTTTTTGGGGGGGGGGAGCCTGTGGGGATACTGAGGAGAGGGTGGGCAATGCATCCCCCAGGGTGGAGAAAAGGTGCCCCTAAGTGGTTAGGATGGGGGCAGTAAAGTCTCCTCCCCTCTCAGTTATGCTTGGGGCTGAGCCTTTAGGTGACAACAGCCTGCTTGGACCTCATCTCTCAGGGCGAGGCCTCTAGGGGCCCTGGGCTAAATTGCTGGAGGCCGCTTGAGAAGGCAGGCCCAACCCCTCCTCCCAAGGCCGAAGCAAGAATGACTGCACTTTGTTTTCTTTGGGGTGAGGTCACAGTGGTGACAAGGTAGTCAGCACCCTCAATAATGCTCGTAATTACAGTCTACTTGCGTTTGAGCACTGTCTCTTGGCCAGGGACTAGGCGGGGCCAGGAAGGCTTCTATAGGGCCCTTTATAAAAAATGTCAACATGGCACCCCCTCCTGGTGGAGGAAGCACATAAAGGTACTTCCCTCTGGGTGGGTAAGTCAAAAAAGGTGCCCCTTCCTTTGGACTGTGACAGTGAGCAAGGATTCTAGCCTTACTTGCCACCTATGCCCGCAGATTTTGAGCAGTGCACAAACTATACAGCTGTTCATGACATTCCCAATAGCCTTTCCCTACATCATCTCATTTAATGCTCACACAGCCCTATGGTGTGGAGACTGTTACCAGCCCTGTTTTACAGCTAAAGACGCAGAAGCTCAGAGAAGCAGAGTTGCTTGCCCAAGATCACACAATAGGCAAAGCTGGTATTTCAATCCCGTCTTCTGACTGTGGAGAAGTGTCCAGTGCTTTAGGCCCTGACTGCAGGGACGTGGGGTTCTACTCTTGCATCTGGGCCCATAAATGGGCGTCCCTCACTGCCTGGAACATCCTTCCCCCAAACACCCACACAGCTCACTTCCTCACCGACTTCAGATCTTTGCCCAGAGGTGGTCACTTTTTCAGGGAAGATTTCCCTCTCTAAATGGCAAACTCTCCTGTAGTTGTTCCTTACCCTCCTTTCCCTGCTTAATTTCTCTTTATAGTACAATCTAGAACATTGTGTTTTATTTGTTCATTGACTATTCTCCCCACTTGCAGGTCAGCCCCCATAAGGCAGAGTTTGGTCCCTTTCACTGCTGGAAGCCCACCATCTGAACTAGTCTCTGGGCACCTGAAAAGTACTCAATGAATATTGAATGAATCAATGAATCGGTGAACGCCTAGCTATTGCTGGCCAGGCAGAGCAGTCCAGCTCTTCGTTAGTCATAGTAACAATTATAATAATAACATCTAACACAGGGTTTCTCACCCTTGGCATCCTGGACATTTGGGGTTGGATAATTCTAGTTTGGGGTGGGGTGGAGGCTGACCTGGGCACCGTGGGGGTGTGGAGTAGCATCCCTGGACCTCCCCCCATGAGATGCCAGTAGTCCCCACACCCCACACTGTGACAACCAAAAGTATCTCTAGACTTTGCTGTATGTTCCGTGAGGACAAAATCACCCCAAATTGAGAACCACTGATCTAATGTGAGCAGATGACCTGAAATGCACCAGGCCCTGCTGTAAGCAGCTTACACACTTCATTGCAATTTTCAGGTAGGTTCCCTCCACAGCAGACCTTGAGATAAGGACTTGGGTGCAGGGGGTTCATTTAACAGGTGATCCCAGGAAGTTCTCCTGAGGCACGGAGAGGGGAGACCCTGAGCCTCCAGGCCTTTAGGCATCTGCAAGTTAAGGGGAGACCTTGACCAAGTTTCAGTTTCTAAAAATGCAGCAAACTGTGTATGTACATCTCCCGCTACCCAGGAGCCTTTGACCAAGGCAAAGAATACAAACAGGAAATAGTAATAGTTTCCTATTTGGTAAAAACTCACACTGAACACATTTTCTATCACGGGGTCCAAGGTGGTAGGAAGGAGGGGGGAAGAAGCAGAAGACTGGAAATCAGCCTGCAGAAACTCCTCACGCCATCCCTCCAGTTGGAAGCTGCAAACTGCTCATTTGCTCCTCTGTTCCAGTTTGCACGCTGTGAGCAACTGTCTTACAATCATCTTGCGCTCTTTTAAAGAAAAGGCTAACCAGCATCTTTACCAGAATCCACCTATGTACCTTCAAAAGCGCTAGACAGCACACCAACCTCTTTATTTTGTCATATTTTGGAGTCCAACAAAGGCAGAGGTCATAAATAAATGTGATCCCAGACCAGTTTTATTTGATCTACATAATGCATAAAACTATTTTTAGGGGGGGGGGGCAGGGGCAGAGGGAGAGGGAAAGAAAGAATCCCAAGCAGGCTCCATACTCAGCATGGAGCCTGACCTGGGGCTCGATATCACCAGCCTGAGATCATGACCTGAGCCAAAATCAAGAGCCGGACACTTAACTGACTGAGCCATCCAGGCGCCCCTGTAGTGCATAAAATTTTTAAAAATTGCCAACACTTAAAAACCAGGAGTTTGTATTTTAAAAAACATCTACAAAGTTTAAAAAAAAAAAATACAAGCTCTAGGAACATGGGGAATGGCTGGCCAGAGCTGACCAGCAGCTGACCCACTGAGGCAGGGTCTGTCTCCAGTTTGCCATGGTCCTACGGGACCTGCTTTTCTTATATATGTTACCTACCTGCTCCCTGGAAACATCTGGGCTCTCCACCCCTGCTTTGGGATTTTGAACGCTTTACAGTCTACCATGTGGGTTGCTCTTTTTGTTAAAAATATATTGGCCACAGAGCAGACTATGCTGGTATGACGCAAAGACCCATGAAGCCAGGAGTCCAACCTATCAGGCATTTACTCCTCTCTTGGTTAATAGGCCAGCGTAGACGGGTGGTTCATGGCGGGTATGTGGCTCCACTCCAGTCATCCAGTTACCCAGGTTCCTTCCATATTGTTGCTCTGCATGATCAGAGTGGCTCCCCAGCTGCAGGAAGAGGGAAAGCCAGAGGGAGGAGAGCAAACAGGCATCCGTGCGTGGGCAAGACAGGAAGTTGTGTCATCACCTTGGCTCACATCCCATTGGCTAGAATTCAGTCATGTGGCCGTACCTAGCTGCAAGGAAAGCTGGGAAATGTAGTCTCCAGCTTGGCCACCCAGTGCCTAGAGGAAACTCAAAGTTGTGTTACTGAAAGGCAGGGCGAATATATGGCAGGCAGCCTCTGTGTTCTTCATGAAGTGTAGGCTCCCCCACTCCCAGAGACTGGGGCATTTCTCGGCTGCTTGACCGGGGCGAGGGGAGGGCTCAATTTAACCATGTATTATTTGGTTAGTTTTAGATTGGCTAGTGCAGCCGAAACCTCGATGGCTTGGTGGCAACGGCTGGCTTCTGGATGGCCCTGAGGAGGTGTTGCAAGGTACCTGCAGGGTGAAGCCCAACCTGACGTCTGAGCCAGGGTCCCTCCTTCTCAGGCTGCCTCTGCTCCAGCAGGCGGTCTGCTCTCAAATACCTCAATATGTAGAAGGGTGGCGGCTGGGGCTTGGCCCGGCTCTCACAATCCCCAGAACAGTATAGGGCTTGACGTTCCCTGCAAATGGGGCCTCCCCGCCCCCCACCACGCCGGGATGGAGACTTGAGAGGGAAGGGATTGGGGTTGGTTTTCAAATCTCTAAAATCATAATAAGGGGTTCACTGCTCCCTGAGGATGAGGTCTTCTGTGGGTGGGTGGAGAGCAGGCAGGCAGCCCCGGGGTCTAGAGAACTGGAGGGTACGAGTGTGTGCACTTGTGTATGCGTGGCTCTCGCCGTGACCCTGCACACATCCGTGGGCACGACCGCCTCTGGGAGCGTGTGCGGCTGTGTGTGCACCTGTGGGGCTGTTCTTGTGCTGTGTGAATGTGCATCTGCGTGCGTGCAAACGTGTGTGATTGTAGGTGTGAGTGTGTGTGTGTGTTAAGAGCCATGGTGGTGAAAATGTGTGTGTGTCAGGGTTTGTGCATGAGCGTGTGTGTACGCCTGTGGCTGCAGATGTGAGTGCACGTATGTGTGTCAGGATTCGTGTGTACAGGCACGGGATCTGGGTGTGTGAGCCCGTGTGTATCTGTGAGTGTGTGCGTGTGTCAGGCTCTTGTGCGTGCACACACATGACTGTAAGTGTGAGCATGTGTGTAGGTGAACGTGTATGTAGGTCACTGCGCACGAGGGTGTTTGGGATTGTTTGACTTTGGACTGCCCTGTGTGTTGGTGTGCGTGTGTGTGTGTGTGTGCATGAACACGCCGCTGTGAGTGAGACCCGAGGCACAGCCTGGAAGGTGGGGTGCAGATGGGAGGCAGACCCTCTGGTTCACGTGTCTGTCCCACAGCCGAGGCCTGCAGCACCACAGAGGATGGGGCGGAACCCCTCCTCTGCCCCTCGGGCTACGAGTGTCACATCCTGAGCCCTGGGGACGTAGCCGAGGGCATCCCCAACCGCGGGCAGTGTGTCAAGCAGCGCCAGCAGGCAGGTGAGTGGGGGCGCCCAAGCCATGCTCCTGGCCCCTGCCCCCCTCTCCCTAGAACATCCCGCTTGGGACACCTGTCCCAGAGACAACCGCCAGCACCCCCAAACCTGGCCAAGAGCTCCTCCTGTCCTCCTACTCCCGTGCTTCTCCCTTTGAGTCTTCCATCCTTCCCCTCTTCGCCTGCATGGGACACAGGTCTTCGAGCCCTGCCACCTCCTAGCTGGGATCAGTTGCTTCAAATCTCTGAGCCTCAGTATTCTCATCTATGAAATGGGGCCACTCTGTGCTGTTATGGGAATTCATTTAAATCATACGTGTAAAGCCCTCAGAGCAGAGCCAAGCAATAATAGGTGCTCAGTAAACATCAGATATATTATATCCATCTATATATCTATTTTTTAAATTGTCTGAGAACCCTTGACTTCCCAGGGTCTCTGCCAGGAGCATTCAGTGTGACTTAATTCGTGTTTGTCCCTGGAGGTGAATAGTATACAGCAAATCGATCAGGGAAGGGCGTGAATGGCATTGCTTTAGTTTGCGTGATTTTTCCCAAGGAGAGCCAGGGCCACAGAGCACAGACTGCCGGTGATACCTAACTAAAGCCCCCCGAGCCTCAGGCAAGGTGTAAGGTCCTCAGGACTTGGAAGAAATGCATGGCAAGCGAAGAATCTGGAATTTCAGGGAGATGTGAGTTGGCCTTGTCACAGCTGAGCTCATGGGACTCTGAGAGCCCAGACTCAGGGCCCAGTCCCCCCTTCAGCATCTCTCAGCCCTGAGAGGGGGGCTGGCAGCCTCGGTCAACACTGAGGCCCAAAGAACACAACAGGGCACGTGATCTGCCAGGAGCGTTTCTTTTCCTGAATGGAGAATGTGTTTCCCGGAAGTGTTTCAGGAAGGACACACTTCGTGCCCTGCAGTTAGCATCATTATCACTGCAAGTAACACGATATGAGACATTACTACTCTCTCAAGAAGCCTGGTTCCTGGGATGCTGAGCTTTGAAAAAATTGCCCATAAAAGGGGGCGCCTGGGGGGCTCAGTCGTTTAAGCGTCCTACTCTTGATTTAGGCTCAGGTCGTGATCTGTGGGTGGCGAGATCGAGCCCTGCATCAGGCTCTGTGCTGGGCATGAAGCCTGCTTAACGTTCTCTCTCTCCCTCTCCCTCTGCCCCTCTCCTGCCGTTCAAGCTCTCTCTGTTTCTCTCTCTCTCAAAAAAATTGCCCACAGTAGGCATCTTGGTGGTTTCTCCTACGTTCCCCCTGCTGTTTGGGGTTAAGAGCCTGTTCTCTAGCCAGGCAGCCTGGGCTCTGGTGGCCCCTTGGCCCCTCACTGCTGCGTATGGCAAATAGCCTAGCCTTTTTGGGTTTCATTTTCCTTACCTGTAAAATGAGCTCATAATAGTTAGGCTACTTCATGCTGTCATCTGTCTTAGGGAAGAGGAACTTGCCTATAGCGTGCACAGCTAACAAGGAGCAGAGGGGGAGTTCTCAGCCTGTCCATGGCCCGCAGGGCCTGTGGGTACGTGTGGGTGTGTGTGCTCCCCCCGCCCAGGAATGATCAGAGCCTTCCAGATGGAAATGTAAGCGAAATTCCTCCTAGCCTTGCTCCCAGGGGCTGTCAGGGAGCAACAATTGTTGGTAATTATATGGGAGTTTGGACATGTCTTGATCTCCACCAGCTTCCCTTGAACGGTAGCCTCGGGGAGGAACAGGGGCACTCGTCCCAGGTTAAGCACAAAGAAGCCTCTTATTTAAGCTTTATCTTTTTAAACTCCATATTTGAAATAATTTCAGACTTCAGGGGCGCCTGGGTGGCTCAGTCGGTTAAGCGGCTGCCTTTGGCTCAGATCATGATCCCAGGGTCCTGGGATCGAGTCCCGCGTCGGGCTCCCTGTTCCGCAGGGAGCCTGCTCCTCCCTCTGCCTCTGCCTCTCCCGCTGGTTGTGTGCTCTCTCTCTGTGTCAAACAAATAAATAAAATCTTTAAAAAAAATTTTAAAAATCAGTAATTTCAAACTTCAGAAAAGAGGCAAAATTAGGACCTTGAACCCTCCACCCCGATGACCCATCAGTTACTAAAATATGGTCACATTTGCTTTACCATTCTCTCTCTTCCTCTCCCTAGTCCCCACTGTCTCTCCGTATAAATCTGCATATTTATTTTCGGGACTATTTGAGAATAAGTTGCAGATCTCATGCCCACCCCTTAGGACGCCAGTCTCCTCCCAGATCCGGCGTTTGGAGGGTGCCAGGGATTGTTCGGGTTTTACAGTCCATCAGCTTGGAACCCAGCATTTGCGGAGTTCATGTCTTTCCCAAGAGGAAAATGAACGTTGACACAGGCAGTGAATCTGCCTCTTTGGAGAGCAGGGTCCGGGGAGTCAGTGCATTTCTCTGAGTGGGTTTGAGTGATGGGTTTGAGGTCACTCAGGTGGAGCGTCCCTTGTCCCGCAGGCTTGCCTCTGACAGAGTGCCATGGCTGATGCTGCATGAGAAGGACAGAGGATCATGCAGCCTTGAGCAGGGAAATCTATTCTGTTAAAATGACCTGTGATCGTGTTTGGTAAACGTGGAGGCGTGAGGGGGGTGACCAGCTCCGCAAAGACCTCTGACTCCTTCCTGTGGCGCCAGCGTTGGTCCCCGAGGAGAAGGAAGGCACAGGAATGCTTCGTCGTCGCCAGCCTGGAAAAACCCAGCCATTTGCTTGAGAAAATAGTTGTGGCCGGAGTTGCTGATAAGTTGTCAACCCGAGGGTGTGGATCGGCTCCGCTGGGTTCTGTCACCTCATCCTATAATGTCAGTGCTGGCCCCAAACACCCTGATCCTTTTTAGGATGACCACAACACAAAGGGAAACAAAATGTCTAGCTATTGCACAAATGTGATCTTTACAATTGAGACATAACTGACCTATATAACCTTCTATGAGTTTCCGGTGCATAAGTGTGCTTTGTTGACAAGGCTGACGTGCTGTGGTGAAGGAGTGAGCTCACCCCTAGCAGCGTCGCCCAGAGAAACTTCTGCGTGACCTGGCCAGGCTTCTCAGGCACAAATGGTTCGCCGCCATGATAGGCTGGGGGCCAGGGGGAGGGGGGCGGCGTGGGCTCGATGACAACCAACAGTGGGAATCCTTAGTAATTCCAGATGTTTCAAGGTCCCAAGAGTCGACCACTTTTCACATACAAAAATGGCAGTTTCGTGTGGTTCCTCCTATTATTTGCATATCTATGGTTTAAATGAAATTATTTTCGTCCTCACAATAACTTTATGAGGTGCTAATTTTTAAAGATTTATTTGAGAGAGAGCACGAGCAGGGGGAGGGGCAGAGGGAGAGAGAGAATCTCAAGCAGACTCCCTGCTGAGCACAGAGCCGATTAACAACGTGGGGCTCGATCCCAGGACCCTGAGATCATGACCTGAGCCAAAACCAAGAGTCAGGCGCTCAACCAACTGAACCACCCAGGCACCCCACGTGGTGCTAATTTTATGCCCATTTCCAGGTGGGCAAACTGAGGCCCAGAGAGGCTTAGGGAAGCAGCGCAAGGAGATAGCTACCCCTTACCTGGTCACACGCAGTAAGGACATTCAAGACTCCTATGAGCAGACTCAGAAAAGTATCATGTGTTGCCCATGTGAATTACATAGCTTGAAATCACACTCGCTGAATAATACGTTCAAATTCTGCTTCCGGTTCATCTGTTAAGACGGTGGTTCCTAAACTTTTTGGCCTCAGGACCCCCTTACGCTCCAAAAACATTGAGGACCCCAGAGAGCTCTCCTTTGTGTGGCTCTGGGTAATTACCATATTAGAAACTAAAGCCGAGGCATTAAAAATATTTATGTGTTAATTCATTTAAGAATGACAATGATAAACTCATTATGCATTAAACAGAAAGAACGTTCCTTTTACAAGTAACTATACTTTCCAACACACACAAAAATGGAAGACTGGCACTGGTTTACATTTCCGCTGTTCTAATATGCGCATGAAGAGAAGAGAGTTCCATTCTCTCGCCTGCTTCTGCATCCCGTCAGCCGTGACATCACACGTCACCCAGCCTCTGGAAACTCCATGCGCACTTGGGAGGGAGTGAGAATGAAAACACAAATAATTCCTTGGTGTTATTATGAAATGGTTTTGGCTGTATGAACTCACTGAAGGAGTTTAATCCTCTCATGTGTTTTCCAGATGGGCGGTTCCTCCAACACAAATTTTACAAAGAATACCCAGGTAAGAGAAGAAACCACTCTTCCTTTGCAGAGGGTGCTAAAAGGAACAGTAAGGATTTCTTGGGTGAAAAAGAAAAATAGAATCCCGTTGATTCTGTTTGATTCTGTTGATTCCTGTTGATGACTGTTTTGAGAGCTACCGTCTGAAGCTGCTGTGAAGGGAAATGCCCATACGCTTCCTAGTTACCTTTATGCCATCAGATGGCCCTTTGGGGGTGAGGTCGCGGGAGGCCAAGATGCTTCTGGTGTGAAAACCTCTGCTCCATCCTGAGCAGCCCTCTAGGTGGCATCTGACATGGGCAGGAGCCATTCTAGGCTGCAGCCTGGGACTGAGGCAGTAGCTTAGGGATGTCTCATGGGGGATAAAATGAGAACTAGGATTGGAAAATAAAGTAGAAGCCCTGTTGCCTGATGGTGAGCAGAGGAGCTGGGAGCCAAAGAGGGGCTCATGGAAGAAAAATGGCTTTATGTTAAATCTTAGAATTTGGGACTGGATATGCTTATTAAGTCCTTCCTACTTTCATTCAGGGGATTGAAAATATGGCTGACACTCTTCTTCTATCCAGTCATTCATTGATCCATCCATCCAGTCTTCTAATCTTCCATCTGTCCATCCTTCCATCCATCCATTCATCCAATATTCCATTCTTCCATCCATCTTTCCACCCATCCATCAATCCAGTCTTCCATCTATCCATTCTTCCATCCATCCTTCAATCATCCATCCATCCAATATTCCATTCTTCCATCCATCTTTCCACCCATCCATCAATCCAGTCTTCCATCTATCCATTCTTCCATCCATCCTTCAATCATCCATCCATCCAATATTCCATTCTTCCATCAATCTTTCCATCCATCCATCCATTCTTCTCTCCATCTATCCATCTATTCATCCATCTATCCAATATTCTATTCGTCCTTCCATCTTTCCATCCTTCCATCCATCCCTCCATCCATCCATCCTTCTATCTATCCGTCCATCCATTCTTCCATCCATCATATCTTTATTAAGAATTTACAGCACATATTTATCAAGCATTACTCTTTATTTTGTGCTAGAAGTTGGGGCTACATTTGTGATCATGGCAGACCCAATCCCTGCCCTCCTGCAGCTAATATCAAGCAGGAAATAACAGACATGAATAGCCTCCAAGGAGTTATTTAGTAATAATAGGGATTAGGGTGATTGAGGTCACATACAGGACACTATGAAAAGGACACCTAAGACTTGGATGTCAAGGAAGGCTTCCTAAGGAGGGGACATTTAAGCTCAGCCTAGAGAATAAGAAATAGTTGGCAAAGGAATAGCCACTGTGAAAATCCTGAGGTTGGAAGCAACTTGGCCTTCACTGCTGCTGGTGTGTAGTGAGTAAGGCAGGGATGGCAGTAGATTGGGCCAGAAACGCCAGCAGGACCACACCGCACAGGAGAGGAGGTGTGGCCGTGGTGAGGAGAGGGGAGAGGCTGCAGGTTGGGATTGGGTGACCTCCTTCGGGGGAGAAGAGGGGACAGGGCCAGGGCACCTGGTATTTGGACATCATTTGGCAGTGGCTGGTGAGCCAGGGGCAGTTGAGCAGCAGAAGACATGCCTGCCCTCACACAGCCCTGGTCTTTTTGCAGAGGGTGATTCCAAGAATGTGGCGGAGCCTGGGAAAGGGCCCCAGAGGCACTTTCAATAAGTCTGCGGGCCGGTAAGTGGGAGGAGTGGTGGCCAATGGCAGGGGGAGGGTTTGCACACCCGGGTGTCCTGGGAGCTTTAATCACCAACTTGACCAGAGGGAGGGGTGACTGGGGCTTTACCTGGGGGTAGAATTTTAAAATTCTCTTACAATATCAAAGTAAGTAATATGAGAACTTGGTGTATAGCCAGAAGTGGAAGTTTCTATACCACGTGGACCTAAATCCAAACACTAGACTGGGTTGCAACTTTCCTTTCCATTCCTTGTCTTAATGCCTCGGTGAAGAGCAGATGAGTCCTCCGTTGTGCCCTGAAGTCCATCCCTCTGTCTCTCCCTCTGTCACACGATCCTCTCAAGTACCAACTCGTGCTTCTAGGGGCTTACCTCCTTCCGGGAGGCTAAGTAAGTCAACAAGGAAATCAGCCTGCAGTAAGTGTTGTCAAGGAACCGGACAGGGGCGTGAGGAAGAGTAGCCAGGTTGGGGAGGGGCTGTGCGGAGGTCACATCTGAGCCAAGATCTGCAAGGAGAAGCAGCTGCCTTGGGAAGACCCGGGGAGCAGGTGTCCGTGCAGAAGAAGCTGGAAGAGCAAACCCGGGGCCGGAGAGATCTTGGCTTCGAGGAGCCACAGGGAGGCTGCTGGGGTAGGGACAGAATGATGGTGGTGAGGCTGGCACCAGAGGGGGATCCCAGGGAAGGCATGGGCCCTGCTCTCAGACGCTCTCCGGGGCCAGATGCGTGCCTGTGGATGCCAAGGACTGGGAGCATCTCTGCCCGTAAAACCCGAATGCCCCGCCCACCCCTGTGAAAGTCAAATGTGTGCACAGGGCAAACAAAGGCCCTTGAAAGCAGCTGATTTCCCCAGAATGTCCTTGAAAGGCAAACATCGGGTTTCAGATTCCAGAATATTCTGGTGCAAGACCCTCTGGGAAAGTCTTGAGTCCTTGGGGATGGGTGCCAGTGTGCCTATTACCTGCTGATGACAGGACCGGTCCTTGGAGTGGGTCTGACCCACCGAGGACAGCGAGCTCCCATGGGGAAGCACTGGGGGCCGGCGGGGGAGAGCGGGCCGTGAGAGGCAGTTTGTGGTGGTGTCTGGGAGCAGCCAGCCGGCCCGAACTGGGCTTAAATTCTTGACCCACCACATGTGACCTTAGGCAAATGACTTCAACTCTCCACGTCCCAGTTTCCTTATCTATAAAATGGGAATGATGGGGAGGGATGTGTTAGTAACTAAACAAGAGGATAGCCAGAGAGACTGAAAGTAAGTTAAGAATTCAGTCTTAGGGAAACTGGAATCTTACTGGTGTATGTGGGGGGTGACAAGGAAGAAGACGACGCGGACTGTGACCTCATGTTCTGCCCCAGCAGCGGCTCACGTTCCTTCCCTCTCTGCTTCTCTTCCAGCCAATGGTGAGAACATGCCTCCAGTTTTCTGCTAAGTCTTGGAAACAGTTGGATAAAACAGGATTTGACCCCCGGAGGTCATGCCCAGCTTGACAGAGCATGACCCCAAAACTACTTAGAGGCAAGACAGCTGGCTCTCAATGCCAGCATGATGCAACTGGCTGGGTGACTTTGTGGGAGCCCCTTGCCAACCCCGGGTCCCCGTCTTATCGTCCTGAAGGTACAGCACACCTAGCAGTCCCACTTGACCTGACGGCCCCACAGACCCCACCTTGGGAGGAGGTCACTGGCTTGGTGAGCTGTACGACGCCCCTTTCTCAGAGAGAGTTCAACCTCTTGTTTACTACACATTTCTTCCAGATGTGTCTCTGGGAGCCATGTACCTATCCCAGACGTTCTCAAAATAAATTGCTCCTTACAAAATGGAAATGAACTTAGCTACTCAGGTGGGAGTCATAGTTTTAACCCCCACTGATCTTAAATTGCATGTGCTGAAGCCCTTGAGCCCTGGGCGGGTGTGTGTGTGTGGGGGGGGGTTGTTGAGGATACTGGGACGAGGTGTCAGCTCAGCTCTGCTTCTGGGACCGTGGAATATTCGGCCACGTGTGCACTGCTCTGGGTCGGATCCCTCTGAGGCAGACCTGGGAGGAGGATTTGTTGAAAGTGATTTGTTAGGAAAGTTCCTAACTTTCCTGGGGGAAAGGTAGGGAAGTAGGGTGGAGAGGTTGGGGTGGGGAGGAGGAGTAGGAGGTCAGACAAGGTGAAACGTCAATGTCCCACAGAGGGTGACTTTGGTGAGATCCCCCAGGGCGGGCTCCAGGGGCAGTTGCTCAGAGGGGCCCACACTTAGCTTTAATGAAAATCTTAGCAATTGTCCACCAAGGGGCCCGCGTGTTCGTTTTGCAAATAGTGTAGGCGGCCCTGAGTCACACTGTGGAAGTGGCCCCCCTGGGGGGCATGGGAGCCAAGTCTGTGTGGGGCTCTGGCGCCCTTCAGTGACAAGGTAAGGGCTGCCCCTAGGGGAGGGGTGGCCACTTCCAGGGGCAGCCCACCTCTGCCAGGGAGGTGAGCCCATGGGGCTGTGGGCAGAGGCCTGGAGCATCGTTACACACATCTCAACAGCAGCTGTACGATGCGGGCTCATGGAGAGAAATGGCTCCATTTACCAATAACTCATCCCTCTCACAAGAGCCCGAGGTGATTGGTACTGATCAGTCCTGTGGAGGGCTCGACCTTCCAAATTCCAAAGTGGGCTTATGTGAAGACAACATCCACGTTCCCATATTTCAAAAAACAAGCAGCTCCCACTCCCCACCCCGGGCCCCTGCACCTCCCCGACCACGGACGCACCCTTTCTCCCTTAAAATCCACACTCTCTTAGAAAACACTCCAAGCCCACTTTAAAGTGGAGACAGGTGACGGACGGGTCTCAGTGCATCCAGGTTGCTGAAGGACTACTTTGGTTTTTGTTTTGTTTTGTTTTGTTTTGTTTTTGTGTGTGGAACGTGGAAGAGAAAGAGTCCAGCGATTCATACACAAGCTGTATAAAGTGTGCCTTGGTTACCCCACACGGGGGGTGGGGGGATGGAGGTTGTGACCTTCCCACTGAAGGACTAGAAAGACGACTTTCTCCAAGAATGTCAAGCCCGACAAGAGACAGATCTGGTTTCCATTTTGGGGAGTGAGGATCATGTCTGTCCATGGCAGGCACGAGTCGCTTTGTGAGATTTATGCCCATGATTACAGGGGTTGCAGCTTGGGTCACCCGTGAAATCCCCAGTAGCCCCCCAGTTCCTGGAGGGTTGATCTCCTCACTGGGCTGGAAGGGAGCTGGGCCTGAGGTTGGCTGGAGCCTCTGGGGGTGGGGGGTCCACTGAACAGCCAGACTGCTCAGGACTGAGGGCGCAGGGCTGAGGGACTGTCCACTTCGTGCCGGCGGCATACAGTGGAAGCAAACGGGTACAACCAGCAGAGACTTGTGTGTGCCCAGCACTTCCTCCATCTGTCACTTGCATTGGCGCGCTGCCCCTCTGGTGCAGGGAAACTCACCAACTTCCCCACTGCCTTGTCCCCTCCTTCATTCCCTCATTCACACATCCATTCTGGCAAGAAATATTTACCAAGCATTAACCACACTTGCCTGGTGAATCCAAGATGCCCTGTTTTTTCACCTTTCCATGTCCCTGAAGTTGGGATGTGTCATAGTCGTGGCCTCCAGGCAGCGGGCGTCATTGCCCACACACGAGTATGTCAAAAGAGGTGAGACATAAGCAAGCTTCGTGGAAACTTCCAGGAACAACGGAGGAACGGCCTTCTGGGAAATTCTGTGTCACTAGCACTCTCGGGGTTGCACAGGACCATACTGGCAGAAGGACTCGGATACTGGCAACCCGGAGTGGGAGAGCGATTGGATTCGGAAGAGTTGGATCCATACGTGATGACCTCCTGGGAAATACCTTATCCCATCCATTTCACTTTTATTTCCTTTGTGAGGTATGCATAAGAATGGTACGTGACGGCTCTGACACTTGCTGGCTGCATGACCCTGCCCAGGTCGTTCGCTGTGCCTCAGTTTCCCCATCTGTAAAAGGGGGGTGAAGTTACCTCTTGATGCTGCTAGGAGGGGTAAAAGCATTAGTACCTACGCGGCTTTCAGCGCCTGGCTCGCAGTACGTATGTGTAGTGCTCCCTGCTATTGTTGTTACTATTATTGCCTCTAAGGAAGATCTGACGGCCCCCGCTTGGGAAGACAGGGCCTCACCTGGGCTTGAGGGGCGGCAGGACCCAGGCATAGAGTCTCCCAGTTCTGTCTGTCTTCTCTGAGTAGAGTGATTGTCTTCCCCATGATGTGAGATGTGGCCCCGGCAACTCCAGACTCCATCCTGCACACCCTGCCCCCCCAGCCCCCAGCCTGCCACCCCTCTGGCACCCTGGGGAAGGCACCCATTTCTGGGCCCATCAACCGAGGCCAAGGGAAGGCTGAAGAAAGAACTGGCAGCTCTGCCATTAGCAATAGCAATGAGCGGAGCGGTGGGATGGTGCACCAGGAGGGGGTCCCGGGAAAACACACACGTCAGGGGCGGGCAGACAGTCTCCTAGATGTCCACACCAGAGACCTCAGTTTACAAAGGAGAACAGGAGATCACAGAATGTCTTGTGACCTGTCCAAGGTCATACACAGCCAGGCAGTGATAGGTGGGCAATTAATCCTCAGGAGGAACTCCTTCTGCTCCTAGCCCTTGCCCTACATTGTAACATTACTCCTCACGGCAACCTTACCATAGAAGCCAGCTCCTTCTGAGCACTTACTGGTTGCAGGCGCCTCTGGGAGCCCTCTACACACACAAGCAACTCATCTGAACTCTCCCAAGCCACGAGGAAGACACTATCAACACCCATTTTACAGATTAGGAAAACTGAGGCACAGAGCAATAAAGTCACCTAGCAAGTGTCACACAGCTTGGTAAATGGCAGGGGAAGGATGCAGACCTAAGTGATCGGATCCTAGTCTTTGGGAGGTAGGGATTTTTTTCTTTTTCCTTATCAAAGAGACTAAGCCTATAATTTGTGTAGTTATATGAACACATAACAGGTACTGAGATTTGAATAAAACATTTGACTGATTATGACATTCTCCTGCCTACAGTCATTCAGGGCAGAGAGATATTCCATGCTTATTGTTGTTCTCCTAGGAAGTACAAATTACAGGAAGCCTTTCTGGAAAAGATTGTAGAAAGGAAAGAACACATTTGTTCTTTTTTGTCTCCCCATTAATTGTCAGAGTCAGATTATACCTTATACTAAGGTTGTCTACCTGTTTTTCTTATTTAAAAATCATTTTTAAACACTCTTTATTTGCAATAATGCTGCATTTACCGGACACACGAAGAGACCAGCGGTACAGGGAGGCCCGCCTCCCCCGAGGTGACAGCTTGCGTAACTAGCCGCAGCGCCACCAGGAAGATGACCCTGGAGCCTCTGCTGAGCTTGGGAGGTTTGCTCTCGGTCCACAGGCTGAAGCAATTCACCCAAGGCCTCGCGGCTTGGAACGGGCCTATCAGGAGCCCCACCTCCCATTTTTCTTCTTCCAGAACTAGAGGAGGCCAGCTCCATTTCTCTGAATCCACAGTCTGGAGTTTTCTCTCTTGCCATATTGAAGAGGCAACAGAGGCTGCGGCCACTTCCGTGGCTGCCTGGCCACTGGTCCACCGCCAAGGGGGCAGGGGTGGCCCGGGCTCTGAGAGGGCTGAGTCCCTTCTGACAGCAAACAGGGCCTCGGAGCAGGGCCTCCAGGAGGGGATGGGTTGCTGGGAAACAACAGGCAAGCCCGGGGGGCTGTTCCAGCCCTGCCTGCTGGATACAAAGGCCCTCGTGCAAGGCGCCTGAAAAGTGGCTGGACCCTGGGGGCAGCTGACGGCAGGGGCTGGCCAGGGGCCTCACCCACTGAGAAGGCTCTTCCAAAAGAGCAAACCCTGTTCCTTGGGTTGACCGACTTAGCTACAGTCTTTCCTGGGGCCATTTTCCATCTGAGCTGCCAGGATGAACGAACTCCCCCACCCCAAGTCTTTTCTAGAACATTCACACAGAGATCAGCAAGGTAGTCTAAAAAGAAGGCAGGTGGAGCCCTTCAGGTGAAGACAATGTAGGACAAATCCTATCTCAGAATCCCAGGAAAGGCGTCCTCATGCTTTCACCTGGGAAGAGGTGAGTAGGCCAAAACAGATTTCCTGCAATCACCTGTGGACTAGGGCCTAAAATTCCAGCATTATCATGTGATCTCTGCTCTGTCTTCACATGGCCTTCCCCTCAGTGTCTTCATCCCTCTGTGTCAAGTTCCCCTCTCCTTTCTTCTATAAGGACAACTTTCACTGGATTTGGGGCCCACTCTAAATCCAGGATGATCTCATCTTAACATCCTTAATTTAAGTATATCTGCCCTATTTCCAAATAAGGCCACATACACAGGTTCCAGGGTTCTGGGGATTAGGAGGTGGATACCTCTTTTTGAGGGGTGTGGGGGGGGCACAATTTAACCAACCATAGGGAGTAAGTTAGCTAACTTAGATTTGGGAAGTAGAGGAAAGGCATCTCAGGCAAAGGCACAGACCAGAGAAGTTCAAGGTTCAAAAAAGGGGGCCTCTGGGAGTGGGAGGACAGGGAGCAGGTCGTTAAAACAGGTGCCAGCCAGTTCACGGCTGGAGTTTGAACTTGACCATGAAAACAATGGGGAGCCACAGAAGGGTTTGCCTGGGTTATTATCTATCTCACTGGACTCTCCCCACATCTCCGGGAGGCCAGTATGCTATCTTCATTTACAGCTGGAAACACTGAGGCTCAAAGAGGCGAAGTCATTCGCCCAAGAACAGACCATTAGGAAAATGTCAGAGAGAGGATTTGAAATCGAGCATCATGTAACCCCTTAAGCCGGAAGATGAAT